AGGAATAAGCCTGCTGCTGCACCACGGCGGTTTGAAGAAGATCTCTGGCTCGTTGTGTCTCAATTGCTGCCAGTGAGTCGCCTCCATCGGAATAGCTGCCAAGCGAGATGCTGCAGCAATCATATTATCCAAAGGACTCAAGAAGTGACCCGATGGAGTACGCACGTTTTGCGGCGGGTTATCAGTTCGTCGAGGTGGTTCCATCGTCCGTGGTTGATCCGGTGCTGCCCTCGGTGCGTCCGTCCGGTTTGTGGCTATCTGATTACTTGGCCCAGCCCCTGGCGTGTTGAAAAGATTCATTCCCTCATAGACTAACGGCAGACGTGACCGGTACTTTCTCCGCATTACGTCATGTGTTGCATTCTGATCCAACAAGAGTCGGTAGTTTTGCGCCTGTATTTGTTGTGACTGGGCATCCAAAGCGGCCCGTTCTTCAGCAACCTAGCGTCCTCCATTGCTAGATCCTCCTTAGCATGTGTTATCTGGTCCTTCAGCTTCGCAATATTTGCATTATGCTGATCCTGCGTCTCCGGGGTAACTGTCGTGGTTAACAAGGTAGCCCAGGCGTCCATCAAACTGGAGAGGACTTGAGCCGGTTGGCGCGCCAGGCCTCCTGCCACGGCTGCTGATCTGGTATTCATTGATGCGTTGGACGAAGACTGCAGAGTGGGTTGTGTTCCGGCCATGAAAACAGCAACCCGACTTGACGGCTCAAGGAGGTCCAGAATACTGTTACCATCGGAATATCCTTCGAACACACCATCCTGAACTTGGTACAGGGACTCGGTTTCACCAGTGGACGACTCGTCATCGGAATAAATAACTGTCTCACCTTCAGACACTAGTTCAGATCCGATCCCATGGACACATCGGACGAACGCACGCTTCATGGCGGGTTTCACCTGGGCAGGGCTTGCACGCTGAGCCGTCTCGATGAGGTCGGTGTAGATGTTCGGCTCAGGGCCTGGTTCACCGATCTTGCCGATGAAGACGTGAATTCCGCTAAAGGGGACCCGGTACCCGTACTCGATTGAGCCGGTCTCAGGGGCCCATCCTTCGTCGTCGATGTAGAGCTTTCCGCGATGACTTTTGGTCATCCGGCCGACCACGTACCCCTTAAGCCCTTCAGAGCAGCCCTTCAAGAACTCGACACCATCGTGCGATAGCCTCACAGTGGGCGCCAACTGTCGTGGAATTAACACGTCAGATGTCCTCGTGAAAGGACTTAGTCGTGGAGCCATCGCTACGGGTTAGCTTGAAGGGGTTAAACCGGACAAGGGACACGGCAGTTTTATACTAGTTCGGCCCCTTCGATGAAGGTAAAAGCCTACGTCTAGTTGTGATGGGATTGATTGGGTTTCGATGATCAGGGAGCGGATACGCTTTGCCTGAGTCCCGAGTTGTTGTCTGTCGTTCCTGAACCGCCGCCGGGTCGTCCCTTTATATACACAGGTTGACGCCCGGCCGGTCTACAGAGTCCCGAGGTCAACTCATACAAGGGTCCGACTCGGTCTCTCGTTTCCTAACTTACAACACAAGTTTACATAACCATGGCGGTTTGCTATTATGGACCCTAATCCGCCATTGGGCTCCGGGCCTCTAAGATTCATAGTAAAACGCCATCTTCTGAGGGGCTGTTTGGTTTGAGACTAAGTTTGCCTAAGGTTGCAACACCTAAGGTTAGGCAAGTTTGACCAACTTAGGTGGGTGTTTGGTTCAAGCCACACCTTAGGCAAACCATACTAGGGTCCCACATCTCATACACTCAAAAAGTGTGGTAAGATTCCCTTAGGCTTGCCAACTTGTGGCTCTCATTTTGAAGAACTAACCTTAGGCAAGTGTGGCAAAATTGTATGGCAAAGTGTGGCATGGTTAGGTCTAGAACCAAACAGCCCCTGAGTCTTCATGGGCTTCAATACGGTTGAGGGTAAACCGACCCCTCCTGGGCGGTTTATACTCAATAGTTATATCCCCAACAACCATGATTGTTGTCTTTGCATCTTTGTGTGTGTGTCTAATTTCTCTTCATGTTGTATTCAAGTGATATCCCTTATTCTCAAGCTATATTTTCGTTTACTTCCATGCACCACAAATGCACTCCGATGGAATGTGTCAGATGCTTGATGTTACCCCAATACGTACTAGCACGTGCATTTTCATTCTAAAAGAAAATTTCAAATAATGCACAAAAACATGGAGATAAAAAAGCTTTTAGGTTATACTCAATGGCGTTGTCATCAATCGTCAAGGGTGGGGGAGTGCATCTCTTGGATACCCCTAATTGGGATTTTTGATGATTTATGACACAACCATTTAGAGGACTAATATCTATATCGAGTTATATGTATACCTAGTCCTTGGCTTTAAGCGGAACATCAACGATGACCCCTACCTATAATTTACAAGTTGTTGCCCATATAAGGTCCTAGAATGTACTTTACAAGTTTTGGTTAATCCAAGATTCAAATTGAGTGTCGGATAATTGTACTATGAAGAGGAGCACATACAAAGGTAATTTGGTATGAAATTTCATGAAAGATACTAAGCTCAAAGTCCTAAAAAATCCACTCTAGCCAGATCAATTACCAATATCTCCAAGCCCCGATGCCCCTGATTTCCCCCGTGCTACCAAGCACTTAGGGTTGCTATCTTCATTCAATTCAAACCAAGTTTCTTATAGCGTAAATGTTGTAGCTTTTTGTTCTAGTGCTACCGAGCTTATCAATTTGATACATTTCTCTATTAGCTCTGTTATCTCCGTGCAAAACATTTAGTAGCCCTCCTCAGTTTGCTTCTCTATATAGTCATGGTATGTGTCCTATTACCACCGCAATTCCGTGGTTGGTACTTCCGAGCTGCGACTCATGCCTTTTATGCGCGTTGCCATTAAAAAGTTTATCTATCTACTACGATACTTCTAAGCAATTGGATTTGAGGGATGAAAAATAACTACATCAACTAATTATGCACTCTAACCCTTTGAAACAAAGTAATAGTATGTGTGTTGTTCAATTAGGTAGTAGAAACACACTACCAAAGTTTAGATAAATTAATAGCACAACATAACCCGCTATCCAGGTTTCGAACGATCATAACTGTAGTGATACTTAATCCCAGTCCAACTACTAATTAGAAAATCATAAAGAGTTTACCAATGCTATTACAGTATACCAATGTGGGTAGTCCGTTGTGTTATTCACCCTTTCACTCTTCTTTCCTTCCTATGTTTATACCCCTAGCAAATGTATATTAATAGTAACTTAACATGTGTTTGCTCTTATGTACGCCAAGATTAGACAACTCAACTAAATTTAAACCACCTAAACACTCATAGAACAAACTTTGGAAAGTATGGATATTTCTTTTGCAGATGCACGGTAAGAACTATTATAAATAGAAAACATTAGTGCAGATGGATATTTATTTTCAAAAATTGTGCACACTCATTTTAGCACTCTTCCTCTTTACATACTCCCTTCGATCTTTTTTACTCCGCATATAAGATATGTTTGAAGTCAAACTTAGTAAAGTTTGACCAACTTTACAGGAAAAAATATCAATATTCATAATATGAAACCAATATCACTAGATGCGTCATGAATTTATTTTCATATTATATAACTTTAATATCATAGATGTTGATATTTTTTCATATAAATATGGTCAAACTTTATGAAGCTTAACTTTAGAAAAATCTTATATGCGAAGTAAAAGTGACCAAGGGAGCACTCATTGCGAGACCAAGACCATAAGCTAAGTTCATTTCGTATTCGTAGTTACATGCTTTAGGCACTTTTTTCCGCTTTGCTGAAACAGGTACCTCAAATCAAATACCGATATACGGTGACAACGCTGTATAGAGCTTACCATTACCATCATATTCTTTTTTTAATAGAATTATATGTGCCGGAGGCCTTTTGTATTTGAAAAAAAATTTGTTTTGAGAATCTTAACGAAAATAGCAAAATGAATTTTTATCAGTTTGTCTAATCCACACATATATGTTTTTTAAGGATGTCACATCTAAATTTTCACAAATAACGCAGTAATAAGGAATAAAAACAAAGCTGGGACAAAAAAAATAAAACCACAAGTATAGTGGATATCAGGTTAGATATGACATATGTCACATTAAGATATGCCCTAGATACAACTTTTCTATTCGGTAAATGATGGCACGGCACCGCAGGCACCACCGCGCGGCGCATCGGAACGAGGCCATAAAACCCCAGCAGCACGGCCCACCACGGGGTCGCCGCCCACATAGGCAACAGCCCTCCCCCCACACGCCCCCTTCCTTCCTTCCCAACCCCCCTCTCTCTCTCTCCCCACGCCTAAACCACACCGAATCCAAACCCTACGCCCTCGCCTCCGCCGCCGGCATCGCGCCCCCCCGCCCGGCCGCGCCTCCCGCTGATCGCCCGCCCCCTCCCGGCCCCCAGCCCCCCGCGCCGCCGCGCCGCGCCGTTCCTGTGGCCGGCAGGGCAGCGCGGCCGCCGGCATCTAGGCGCCACCCCCCGCGGCCGGCCGCCCCCTTTGATGTCTCCCGCCCGCCGCCTCGGCTCCCTCTGCTCCCAGGCGGGTCCCCGCGCGGTCAGCTCCACCCCCACACCCGCCCAGTGCACGGTCCCCTCACCGCAGCGGAGATGAGCGGCGCCGACAAGGTATACATCCCACATCCATACATCCGCTCGCCGCATCTTTCGTGCGCATGCACATTGATTAATCGCGTGGTTTAATTAGTCCTTGATGCTGCCGCCGCGCTCTGGCGCCGCATTAATTACGGCGGGGACGGTTTCTGGTTGGGTGGCCTCGGTGAATTGATGCGGTTTTGCCGTTTCGGAGCACTAGCTAGCCTGGCTGATGTGATGCTACCGCGTGCGTGAAGCATGCTTGTGGTACTAGATGCCGTAGCGCTGATGATGTAGGCTTATTTGGTGGTTACGTAGATGATCAGCGCTTAAAAATGTTGTTGCTTGGAGGCGTGTGGAGTACACATTATGGAAGTGTGTATGATCAGATGGGATCCAGAGTTGAGTTTCCTTAGGCCAGACAGCCGGCGTGAAAGTCGTATAAGAGCGGTTAAAGATACACTTTTTCTAGCAATGTTAACACTGATATCTTGCTATATTTGTTGTTTGGACGCTACACAAGCTGCTTTAATGCTCAAAGTTTTTCAGGTAGTCATTTGTTCTCATCATAGTTTCTTCTGTAATGCAGGTTGTGTTGTTTGGGTCCTTCACGGAGGATGAGACCAAGTTGTTCCAGGGGCAGCCTGCTAAAAGTGAGGAGAAATCATGGGAACTACCTGAGATCCAGTTTGGGTCACTGAATTTTTCTGTGCTAAGTTTAGAGAAAGGGGCAAATGCTATCTCTGAAGGCTCTGCCCATTCTCCAAAACCAACTTATGGCCATACAAAGGATCTCGCTGGCAGTAGTAAGAAGGAAGCTGTAGCATCTACCTTACCAAATGGTGGGCCAGTGCTGTTCAATGGATTTCCTGCCGAAGTTTCTCCTAATAATGGTATTCTCAAGAATGTGAAGTCTGAAGCTTCGGTTCCTTCAGCTGGGCCTGTCGGCAATTTAAAGGAGACCAAAGCAACGGTTGCTTTAGCTGGCCCTTTGAGCAATTTAAAGAAGACTGAAGCTCCAGTTCCTTCAGCTCGTCCTGTCAATGATGCAAAGAAAAATGAAGCTCTGGCTCTTTCACCTGGGCCTGTCAACAATGTAAAGAAGGAAGCTACGGTTCCTTCAGCTGGGCCTGTCAACAATGTAAAGAAGACTAAAGCCACAGCTCCTTCAGCTGGGCCTGCCAACAATGTAAAGAAGACTGAAGCCACGGCCCCTTCAGCTGTGTCTGCCAACAATGTGAAGAAGGCTGAACCTACCGTTCCTTCAGCGAGGCATGTCAACAATGTGAAGAAGGCTGAAGCTACGGTTCCTTCACCTGTGCCTGTCAACAATGTGAAGAAGGCTGAAGCTACGGTTCCTTCACCCGGGCCTGTCAACAATGTGAAGAAGGCTGAAGCTACGGTTCCTTCACCTGGGCCTGTCAACAATGTGAAGAAGGCTGATGCTACGGTTCCTTCACCCGTGCCTGTCAACAATGTGAAGAAGGCTGAAGCTACAGTTCCTTCACCCGCCCCTGCTAACACTGTAAAGAAAACTGAATCTGTGGTTCCTTCAGTTGCGCCTATCAAGAGCATTAGCAGTTCAACACCAATTGAAGGGCCAGGGCCGCACCATGATGGTCTCAGATGTACAGAAAGCAGCAGTTCAGCTATGTTAGTAACTGAGAATGGAAGCACAGGTGCTGATGCACCTATTATTGCAGCTCCAGCAGATGAGTCCGTCACAAGTTTGAATAAGGAAGCCTATCAGAATAAGCCGTTGCTTCCTCATGGTTTGAAGAATACAGGAAATATATGCTTCCTGAATGCAACTTTGCAGGCTTTCCTTTCATGCTTCCCTTTTGTTCAGCTTGTACAAGACCTGAGGAACCGGACTATACCCAAGGTATTACTACCTAAATGAATCAGTTCAATGTCCTCTCTGCTGATTTCATTTGATTTTGTTCTGACTACTGCTAATTTTAGGCTGGCTACCCTACTCTGAGTGCATTCATTGAGCTCGTCTCTCAGTTTGATGTACTTGACGAGTCCACTATGAAGAAAGATGAGAGGTTTGCTTTAGTCGCTGCAAAAGTAATCAATCCTACCATGTTCGATCAAGTTCTGAGAAATTTTACTCCAGATGTACCGGCTGGAACATCTGCTCGGCCAAGGTAAGTTGACGCTGTTCTTGGTTATTATTTTTTGAAGTGAAATTGATGAAATGAGACACTAATTGTTTGGATGTCATAGGTACTACTTGAGAATAGCATTCTTTTTTCCTGTTTGTGCTTATTTTTAGCATCTTTTTGTATAGCAAAACATGGATCCTATCAGTATCATCATGTATCCCGTTTGTCCCTACTGGAAACCAAATTTGACATTGAAACTATTACCAATGCTTATGAGCATGATGACTTGCAGTAGAATCAGAAGCTTCCCAGTAATATCTATCTTGAAACTTGTGGAACATGAAACTGAGATAGATGCCATCTTAGTTTGAAATTTGTTCAACAATATATTTTGCTGCATTGAATGCATGGACATTATGCATGCTGCTCTTATTTTGTGTTACATTAAATATCATGCGTTAAAATTTTATTTTCCTAGTAACAGGGCTTCTTAATTCAGTTTATGATGCTTTGCATTTTCTGCAGACAAGAAGATGCCCAAGAGTTCCTAAGTTTTGCCATGGATAGAATGCATGATGAACTGTTGAGGCTTAATGGCAATGGTTCAAATTCAAAGGAAGGTATGGTTGTTTCTTCTGATGATGACGATGCCTGGGAGACTGTAGGTAGGAAGAACAAATCTGCAATCATGAGAACGCAGAGTTTTGTTCCCTCCGATCTAAGTGCTATTTTTGGAGGCAAGCTGCAAAGTGTAGTGAAAGCTGCAGGTAACTATTTCTTGTGCTGAGAAATTTCAGTCATTTTCTTTTAACTCTGATCTATCAACTAGATGCCCTTTTGGAAAGGTTTTATCTCCTGATTCTAGCTACATTTGTGCTTGTGTAAAATTTTCCCTGGAAATACTAGTGCCTTATAGCTTGTAATAGATTTATGTTTCTTAAACATGCAGAAGTGCTGTCAAGGAAAAAACATTTTTGCTTATCCTTGAACTTTAAATAAAAAAACACGTCAACTGTTCATTTGCGCTAAGAAGTTCCTTATCATTGTTGTCAGAAACCTGCATTAGATTTGTGTCGGTTATCTGAAGCAAATTCTCACTGTAAATTGAAATCATTAGCGTTGTTGGCAAAAATTGAGGGAGTTTCAGTTATGCAGTTTCTTACCCTCATGCTGTATCTTCTTTTTGGATTTATTATAGGTAACAAAGCGTCAGCAACCGTTCAGCCTTTCCTGCTGCTCCATCTTGATATATTTCCAGATGCTGTTCAAACTCTTGACGATGCACTTCATCTGTTTTCCACCCCTGAATCTTTGGAAGGATACAGAACAACTGCTGGAAAGGTTCTTACTGAAATCTGTCTCAGTAGTTTTGACTCCTGAATTTTGCAATTACTTAGCTTGTCAGAGAATTTGCTTACATTATTTCATTACATATAAGGGACATCATGCACTCTGCATTAGCGCCATTCATCTCTGATGCATTATATTATAAGCTCCCTCCGTTCCTAAATATAAGACCTTTTAGAGATTCCACTATGAACTACATACGGATGTATATAGACATACTTTATAGTGTAGATTCACTCATTTTGCTCTGTATGTAGTCTATAGTGGAATCCCTGAAAGGTCTTATATTTAGGAACGGAGGGAGTACCTGGTTGGTTGGTTGCCTTCTTTGATCTAAATCTTAGTACTCTGTTGATACCGCTATAAGCTGAAACTAGGTTGTTGAACTATACCTCTGTACTATACACCTCAGTGCAACAGTATGGTTCTCTTCACAATTATTATCCTTTTGAAATCAGCTATAATATTGACTGATGAAACTTGATGTTGCAGGCCGGAGTGGTGACAGCTAGGAAATCATTCAAGATACACGAGCTTTCAAAGATAATGATACTGCACTTGAAGAGGTTCAGTTATGGAAATCGTGGGTGTACTAAACTGTACAAGCCACTCCACTTCCCTCTTGAACTGGTCCTCAATTGGGATCTGCTGAGCTCACCATCATCAGAGGTGATAATCTCCTTGATACTCTATTTTATTATTGCCAATATAGTTGGTGTATCTACTATCTGGTCAATTATACTTTTGTCATCTTGTCTTCTTTATCCTTGATCCCGCGGCGTGTGGGGATTAGACCTCTTTATAAGTTTGTACAGCCCTTTGTAAAATCAGATGTAACAGCTGTTTCATGGATACACATTGATTACTACATCTAACATCCCTCCTTTGGTTGAGTGCAGGGTAGAAGATACGAGCTTGTTGCAACCATCACTCATCACGGGAGCGGCCCGTCCAGGGGCCATTACACTGCTGATGCGAAGCGTGACGGTGGGCAGTGGCTTCGGTTCGATGACGGCCATGTCATGCCCATCAATGTGAACAAGGTGTTGCATAACCCAGCGTATATCCTGTTCTACGAGCAAGTTTAAGTCTGGTGTTACCATGCGGTTGATTGCCCCCTTCCTCTCATTGCTGGAACAGTGAGTTATACTGTCTAACTATGGTTGTGTTAAATGGTAGCTGCCGTGTAACCGAAGAATTGAGTGTGTCAAGTACCCTGGTTGCGTGACCCTATTTATATATGCTTGGTAACGTAGTGATGAGGGGGGTGGGCTTTCCCGCTCAGCCCATTTTTGAGGTCCTGTAAAATGCACCTGGTCATCTTGGTAACCATGAGGTTGCTAGCAATTCATCCTGTGTGCTGGTGTTATGGCGATGTGATGTGTGCACTTCTTTACATTTTAGGCAACCTAATTGAAAGTGGCCAGTCTTCGGCTCACGATTGGATGGCCGACCATGCACCATTTCTTCTGGAAATGCTGGCATCTGGGTTTTGTCGATCTCAAACCTTTAGCAACCAAAGAGAGAGCCATTTCTTCTCGAAAATCCGGTATCTGGTTTTTGTTGATGTCAAAGCTTTAGCAATCAAATAGAAAGAACAATTGCAAGAGTCACTGGTCAATTGGCAAAAGCTTGAAAGCATTTCCATTTCAAGGTGTTGAATCCTGGTCATCGGTTCTTCCAGCAGCCAAACGTCAGTGCTTTATTATTTGATCTATGGCATGTATACAAGACTTTGAACAACGACCTGCTGAATTCGTTCTTTCCATACGTGCAGACCACTAACCCATTCAAACTAGCATCCACTTGTGCTGTGCTTGGCTGGGTCGCTTGACTTTGGTACTACCTAACAGTTCAGTTGATATCTCGTGACGGCCAGTGTTCTCCTTCCTGCTGCATATTGCTTTCCTTCCACTTCACAAAACCATACATGCATTCTTGGAGCTTCTCAAACTGCTAAGCTCATGATGGTGTCAGATGATCAAGTAGAATGCCTGTATTTCCGAGCTGCCATGCCTGTGATGCAACCGCTCATTTGAAAAAAAGAGGCATGGAGAATGCAGGGCTAAATGTTTCAGCTTCAACTGGCTTCGAATCATATGTGGATTCGCTTCACTAGTGAAGCTGATTCTGAATTCACACTGAATGGCCCGAATCTAGATTCAGCTTCACTGGCAAGGCTGATTTCAAATAGTTGTTTGTTTCAGGTTCTGATTTTTCCTACTAGAGTGAAACAAACAAGGCCTCTCTATCCGACATGAGTCTAAAAGCAGCTTCTTGTTTGCCTCTACTACGTGTTGTACATAGGTATCTTGCTCAATAAAGGTGATCTCCACAAATGCCATTTCCTCTTATGCACCGATACAGAGTGATCTCTGCCGGATATACTTTCTTTGACCAATCACTTCCAATTTAAGCTCTTGATGGCCAAATCGGACAAAGGGATCTCCCTCGGAAACCTTCCTGATCAATCACTTCCATGTTAAGCTCTTGATGGCAGAATCAACCAAAGTGATCTCTCTCTCACCTTCTATTTTAAGCTCTTCATGGCAATCACAGACAGTGAAGAATCATGCACAAAATCAGGAAAAAACACAGTGGAAGCAAGCCAAAAGAGAGAAGGACTTGAGAAACGAAAATGCTAAACCTACGTAAACTCCTACGAAGGGTTACGTAACTTGCCAAATCCTAATCCTAATCGCCCCCTGATTTTCAGTGGGGTGGGGCCCTTCACCCCCACTTCCAATCCTAACTTGAGAAAAGGTCTAGCGTTGGACCTGATTACCATCTCATCATAGAATTACACATGATCTTTTTTTTTTTTGCTTTTGTTCTTGACCATTTCTGAACACGGGAGGAGGGGAGCTACAAGGGAAGGGAGAGCACTAGCTAGCAAGCAGGGGCCTGCAGTTTGTTTTCCCCTTCATTTTTCAGCTGTATACACAGATGCAGGGAGAGACTAGACTGAACCCAACTGAACTGAACTGAAGGTTACACTACACAGCAGCAGCAGCAGCGCTCGTTTAGCTTCTAGCGAGGCTGGTGGATGGCGCGGCGGGCGCCGCCGCCGGCCCTGGGGCTGACGTGCTGCGCCGGCTTCTCGGCGTGCCTCATCGGCGCCCAGGCTGGTGCCGGGCCACCGCCCCTCGGCGAGTTCAGGCTCAGCGTCTTCAGCACCGCGTCCATGTCGCCGCCGAACCCTGCAAATTCAGAGCGATCCCGGTTAGCTTCCCGCTGCTGCCATACTACCTCTGCTGCTCTGGCGAGGAGGAGACGGTGAGAGGTGTACCGAACCGTACCTGCTGGTTTGTAGTGGTAGAAGTCGGGCTGGGGCTGGGGCGACGGCGGGGAGTAGAAGAGGTCGTCGGCGTCGAGGAGGTCGACGGAGTCGTCGGGGAGGAGGGCGGCGACGTCGTCGACGTCGTCGGCGAGGTCCTCGTAGAGCTGGTGCTGGCGGAACCAGTGGTCGCGGAACCAGGCGGTGGTTTTGACCAGCTCCCACCACTCGGGCGAGTAGTCCTCCACCTTCTTGAACGCCGCCGGGATGAACATGGGCGCGTCCGGGTTCAGCGCCGACATCGCCATGGTGCTCATGATCACCTCACTACACGCAAAAGCAAACCAATCAGCTTCCGATCATCAGCTCGGGCCCGGGCACCGATCTAGATCACTACAACCACGTCAAGGTCGCCACAGATCTGTGGAGAGAGCATCGCGGCCAATTCTCGGCGTTCTCGCTTACCTTTTCTCTGCTGTTCGTCTGTCGTCGGGGCGGACGCGTCCGGGACGAAATATCTCTCGCGATTTTC